GCCAAAATATTATCAATGGTGGGCACTTTCTGATGGCTAGTCTTGATGGGAGGCAACACTTTACAAGGACCCGAAAAGAAAGTGGAGAGGACAATTGGAGTACCATCATTGTTTGGACTTTGCAATGGTATGGACCATTTGGGAAGGACGGAATCAGAAGAAATTTGGATTGGAGAAATTTAATCAAGGAGAGAGATGGGAACACGTAAGTTATAGATTCTGTTATTGGATTAAGGCAAAAGGCTAGGATGACATAATCGCTTGAGGTATGGCGATCGTCACCGATGGATGCCTAAAAACTGAAGATGGATCAATTCAACAAATAGAAGAATTAATCTCATTGCGGCGAAACCGAGTCTGAGGCCAATCGTTGGTCTCAAACTTTAGGATTTGGGTGAAACGAAAAGTGAGGATTTTAAACTTTGTTATCATCGTAAACTTTATTAATTTGTGATTTAATAGTTACATGCCTCATTTAAAGAGGTGAAATGTTCATCATTTTGAAAATCTCAGTTGTTAACAACTAATTCTATTAACATTTTAATCATTATTTTTATTTTTAAAAAAAAAATTTAATCTCATTGCGTGGAAATAAAAATCTTTAACGGATGAAACTATATTTGCAAACAGCCACTTTTGTTTGGTGAATGACTATTTTTTTTTTTTTAATTTGATGGAGGGTTATAAATAGGATAGGGTTGGATTTCTCTCTTTTCCAAAGATGAGGTTATAAGTACTATTTATTTTATTAAAGTTATTAATTTTATTTTTTTACAATTTTTTATGATAAAAGTATAATTATATTAATAATTAAATCAAATATAATACAAGTTATAACTTACTATATAGACTTTTTGAAAAAATAAAATGTTAGGAAGGACTTCTAAAATTAACGGATAGAATTATGTGTTTTTTATAAATAAAATAATTAAGAATTAAAAGCTTCTAAATGCTAGTTATTTAGTAGTAAGTCTCATTATTTTTATTTTTTTTATAAGAGTAATAGTGATAAGAATAAAAATTATTCTTAAATTATTAATATAAAATAAAATAATA